GCGTGCCTCCTTGAGCTCAGTCGGTAAAGGTGCAGCTGCAAAGCAAGACCATGCTGGAGGTGGCTGGGTTCGATTCCCGGTCCGGTCTCAGAATTTTTCGGGCTGAACTTGTATGGGCATAGAGTATGATTTTACTTGCCACTAATGCAAAAATGGTACAGGCATCGAATGCTCTCAATTAATAACTGTGGAAGTGCATCTAGAACACTAATTTAAGAGCACGCAATAAGTTAATATGCAATAAGCAATAAGCTTGAAATGCCAAGAGGAAGGAGAAGAAGAAATACTACTAGGGTTCATGATCTCACCTTCTTGATGGTTTGCAGAACTTTAATACTTAGGTCTCTTGTATTGGGTCTATGCTTTTTACAATATAGAGGCATTCCACGAAGGTTCGCAAATTGATCCTGACCGATCATTTCCAATTAAGCTGAAACTTTGCACAGTTGTTCCTTTTTAGTAAAGATGCCAATTTGTGTTATCAGTTCTTCAAATTGAATCACGACTACTTTTTGAAAAGGGCCTGTGTAAAAATAGTACTAATGAGTTTAAAAATATATATTGCCGAAACGCTTTGTTCGATTGATTTGGTGTTCTCAGCAAAGTTGTAGATATTATTTTGGCAATTGTGTAAAAAATAGACACTGTAAAATTTTTTGTTTGTTTCAATGAAAAAAAATATATTTATTATTAAAAAAGTTAATTTCTCAAAAAGTACATACGTTTTACGCCTCATTGAAGCTCATAGAGTATGCTACTAACTGGCAAAGTTTAGTGATGGTAAACTCAAAAACAAAAAAGTTATGATTTTTTGAAAATTTCACGATTTTTAATGCAAATGTCACACATGTTTTTTAACCGCGTATATTTTTTCTAGAATTGAATTTTAACTTTGCACAACTTTCTGCAAGACACCATAGCAATCAAGCAAGCCGTTTTTGCAATGTATTAAAATGTTTATTTTATATGCGCTTTTCTACACAGGCCCTATTGGAAAAGTAGTCGAGGTTCGCTATTACAATTTGTAATAGCGAATCCCGACTACTTTTTTATTTTAAAATTTCAACTTAAATCCATAAAATACATTTTTCTGCTTTTTTTTCCTTATTTTTTATTCGGAAACCTTATGGACAGATGATACATAATTTATTTTCATTGTAATACACTTACTTTCTATTTTTATTTACATCACTTCTAAAATACATCGAATATTTTGGCATCATTATCATTACAGTTTGAGTAACGTTTGGCTTGAATTTTATTTTCTGAAACAGGAATGAAAGAATGAAACTTTTGAGTTCCTTGAATTATTGTTGCATTATTATATTGCTCGTTGAGGTGTGAAGCCATACTTTCGTATTCCTCTGTTGTGGCAAAACTAAATGATAATTTTGTTAATTCTTCTTTTTTTTTATTATTTGCCCAATTATAAAGCTCTCTTGCATTTTTTTATTGGATGTTCACGTTCTTTGGCCAAGCTTGCTCTAGTAGCACTGCGTTTTATTGTACCTCCTTTCCCATGTGATGTTGCAAAGAAATGCCATTCGGCTTCAATTCCATACTTTGATTTAAATTTACAAAGGCTAGCAAAGTTTTTCCGGTTCTTGTACTGTGACGCGGCTCCATCGGACATAAAATAAATCTTGTTGATATTTTTACTTTGGTTAATGTATAAAAAACTTATAATTTTTGAAATAAATAAGTTAACAGCCACTGAGTCATGCCTTAACTCTTCAGAAATTATAATAAAACTTAAATGTTTAACTTGCATATTTTCTCTAAAATATACAACAAATGGATGAATGGTAGCTTGTTAGACATTCCAGTGATGAGACTGTAAAAAGCTATAGCTTTCGGAAAAAATCGCAAGTAACTAAAAATTCACCTTCTTGCAAATTATTTGTAGTTGTAGTTTGTAGTTTTCAAAAATTAGATTGCTGTGTTTTTATGAAATCATGTGGTATCAAACTTGTCAATTTCAAGCAGAAAAATGAAACAAACTCGTCTGCAGGCTTTACAATAGTTTCTAAATCACATCTATCCGTGATAAACCACTGTTCAAATGAAAGCTGATCAATGCATTTTTCTTCTAATTGTTTTAATTGTTGTCTCTAAGTCATCATTAGTAATCTTTTTTGAATGGCTTGTCGTTTTCCTTCTTTCTGCACAGACACATAATCTTTTTGACCAGGCATTGCCCGGCTTATATCATCATCTTCAAAAAAAAAAATTATGACTGCCAATTTTGTTTCATCACTTAAGGCTGTGTCATATTTTGCGGTTTTTGACGAATTACCTTCCTTTATCAACTTAGCCTCTGTTGCAATATATCTACTAGCATTAAATTGATCCATAATTTTTTGTGTTGACCATGAATAAGGCAATAACGATAAAATTAATAATTTTTCACTTTTTGCAGTGGATGATTGGAAAACTTTTCCTTCATGTTTTCTAAAACTTCTTTGAGTTCATTCACTTCGTCAGCCTCAGGCGCGAAGTTGAAAAGATTCTTTCTAATACCTTCGTTGATTTCACGGTGCTTCTTTTCGGGGTAGTGAACCTCGACTACTTTTCCAATAGGGCCTGTGTAGAAAAGCGCTTATAAAATAAACATTTTAATACATTGCAAAAACGGCTTGCTTGATTGCTATGGTGTCTTGAAGAAAGTTGTCCAAAATTAAAATGCAATTCTTGAAAAAATATACACGGTTGAAAAACATGTATTTTTAATAAAAATGTAAAAATCGTGAAATTTTCAAAAAATCATAACTTTTTTGTTATATATGAGCTTCAATAAAGTATAAAACGAAAATTTTCAAAAATGTGCTTTTTGAGAAATTAACTTTTTTAATAACAAATATAATTTTTTTCATTGAAACAAACGATTTTTTTTACAGTGTATATTTTTAACATTATTGCTAAAATTATATCTACAACTTTGCTTAAGAAACCAAATCAATCCAACAAACCGTTTCAGCAATATATATTTTTAAACTCATTAGTACTATTTTTACACAGGCCCTGTTAGAAAAGTAGTCGTGATTCAATTTGAAGAACTGATAACACAAATTGGCATCTTTACTAAAAAAGAACAGCTGTGCAAATTTTCATCAAAATCGGAGCCGACAAATTAAAAAAAAATTAAAAAATTCGTCAATCTTTAGAGAATTGCTCTATACAGAGACAACATAAAGAAACGACAATTGAAGGAAACTCTTTGAGCTTATGCGAATTCACAATTCCATGATGTTTCGAAGATCCAGGTCATCAAATTATTCATGAAAATACTTCTCCATATTTTTACTTGACAGTAGACGTGTTGTAGAACCATTTTGCTGATGAAAGTATATGATTAACTCAAAGCTATTATTTTTAATAACTAGTCATATATATGACCATATTTAATATATGAGGGGTCAGAAGGAAAGGGGTGCAAGTGATATAGTAAAATATGAGCCGTTACAATTCAATTTATAGACAGCCCATAATTTAAATAGCGTATATAATTTTTTCTCATAGTAACTGTATTTTTTTCATGATTTTCAAGATTGTCACTTGCACCCCTTTCCTTCCAACACCCCTATATGAGATCGAAGTATGGAGCTTTTGGCGGGTCAAGTTTGCAAGGCGGATTACAACTTCCTTCTTCACCACTGGTTTTTCGATGTGTATGCAACTGTGAAAAATTTGAACGACTTTGGTAGCGATTTGGATTTGCGGCAGAATTTTAAAATTACTACGGGAAATGTATGGGAAACGGGGGAAAATATTCATTCTTTATTCTTCTTCCTCGCATTTCAAGCTTATTTCGTATGGCTCTCAACTTAGTGTTCTAGATGCACTTCCACAGTTATTAATTGAGAGCTTTCGATACCTGTACCATTTTTTTGCATTTGTATAATTGTGAGGCAAGTATAATCATACTCTATGCCCAGGGAAGTCGAGAAATTTTCCAACCCGAAAAATTCCCAAGACCAGACCGGGAATCGAGCCCAGCCACCTCCATCATGGTCTTGCTTTGTAGCAGTGCCTTTACCGACTGAGCTAAGGGAGGTCCCGAAAATATTCATGTCCTTGTTAAAAATTAACACATTGTTCCACTTACCCAGTCTATGTATGAGTGAATTTTAAAGAAGTAAATAAAGATGTTCAATACGTTTCCCATACATGTTTCCATATAAAAGTCGACAAACTATACAGAAATACTTTGCCGAAGACCACTAATCGATTCGATTCTTATGCAAAACGTTATTATGGATTTACTTTTATCCAAGTGTTCATCGTTTACCAGCAGGTGTATGTGAGATCAGCGAACTGGAGCTTGAAGTACCACAGAACTGAACAACTCGACTTCCAGTATGAACAACACTTTTTAAAGAATTTTCTCCAAGCATGGTAAACTAATAATAATGGATCATGATATTATGGACTATTAAAAAAATAATGACAGTGGGAACCATGTTCACTCTGTCATAGCATACAACTTGACTCAATAAAATAATCATCAGAAATAACGATCCGATGACAACAGCAAAAACTTGAAAACTCACTCTGAAAGGAAGTGGCTCACTTATTTCAAATATTACGTGTGTCTTGATTGAAAAGTTTGAATGTTCCCAGAAGTTGGTAATATTTTTCGCACCAGCTACTGCAAGGAAACGAAACAGTGTTTATAAATTTGCGAAATTTATTTCCCTGGGTACGCCACGCATGCTTACACATTTCAAGCGGAAATGAGTATTAAAATTGGCGACCAAACGGGTTTTACTTGCAAGATGAATGGATGAAACCGGACTAGTTTACACGAAAACCGGTGGTGAGAATATTCATTTATCCGCTTGATGGTCAGTAATTAGTGATACTTTGTGCATGTTTTAAAATAATTTGTCAGGTGTTGGCAGGATTAAGTCTTATGATGAATGCTATTGTATACAACACATCAACATGTATATGCCACACTAATTCCATGACGTACACGGTTATTTTTTTCCATTCCACAGGAGGATGAGGAACAGAGGCTTATCATCATGCGCAAGGCATTCCAGATGTTCGATACGACGAAGTGTGGCTTCATCGACACGGTCAAAATCTCCACCATTCTGAACACCTTGGGCCAACAGTTCGATGAGGGTGAGCTGCAGTCCTTGATTAACGAGGAAGATCCAGAAGAAACGGGACGAGTGAACTTCGATCAATTCGCAAACATCGCCTCCAACTTCCTGGTAGAAGACGAGGATGCCGAGGCCATGCAACAGGAATTGAAAGAAGCCTTCAGATTGTACGATCGCGAGGGTAACGGTTACATCACCACCAGGTTTGTGTTTGTTTATGATGATTGTGCTGTAATCCTTCCGGTGAATACGAGCGAATTATACATTCAAGGTTTCAGCATCATTCCAAATGAAACCATACTTTCAAGGACTTTCAGGCAGTTAATTTCCCGACGTTGCCGTTTGAAAAACAGTCTCCATAATAGTGTATGTCCTAGAAAAACATAATTCTCCGTCTGTCCCAGATGCAGATAACCTAAAAATGTCCTTTCCAATTTCTATGCCATCTCGCTTTGCCATTATAGCATCGCCAGCGAAGCAGTTGTCAAGCAGACAGTAATCCCACATTGAATTATTTAGTACCCATCAAGCTGAAATGTGCCTACGGTGCAAAGAGGAAATCCATTCATGGAGGCACATAGACATAACATACATTCACGATACACATCGTCGTCGTCATCGCCATCGTGTCACAAATCCCCCTTCCGGAAAACATCTCCATTCGGATGGGCTTTCGCAAATGAAATTGAAACTTGAAAGCATTTGCAAATACCTGTCCGTGAAACCAGGTTGCCACCCTAATGTGCCACAATGCCGTAAGAAATTCTTTTCCTTCCTTCATCTTGCATGCCTGCCAGGTGAAAAACTGGCACATCCATCTGCTGGTGACCATCTAGGGTTCACCTGCTGTTACTTGGTATTAGCGTAAAAGATGCGGATAGTACCCTCGACAGAGATGTTGAGCTCAACTTATTAGGGTGCTATGAAAATATCCAAACTAAATTATCATATAAATCAAAGCAAGGGACAGGAACAACTTAATATGGTGTCCTTCATTTGAAATTCATTCGAGGTGGCCAGCAGTTTTTGCTGTGTTCGGTGTGAGCGAATTTTTGGGGTTTGTTTTTGTCGCAAAAATCGGCTCACAAGGAGAAGGCGGGACGGTAGGAGACAAGCATATTCTTCTTCATGTTCACCTTCCTCTTCTGATTCATCCTCATGCAATTCATACTTTACGGGTGACCTTAACTTAGTGTTCGAACACTTCCACGTGATTAGTGATCTTGAAAGCTTGTGTAGTGCAGGTTCGTTTCTCACTATTTTTCAATTTTGCCGTATGTAACATAAATGTGTATTTGATATTTTTCAATAAATAAAATACCGGAATTATGGCTTAAAAATTAAAATAAATTATCAAACATATCAAACAAAAGAGACTTTAAGCCTTAAACAAAGGAATACTTTAAAGATTGTTGAATATATTTCATCGAAAGAAACTTCTTGATTAAAGGGGTAGTACACTTTAAACGTCCAAAAAGTAAGGCATTTTCGTTAATTTTTTTAAGCAATAAAACCCTCAGGGAGGGCAAATATGTTATAACCCATTTATTAGTCATCCTTCGAACTACAATTTGTATTTTTTTTAACTCGATGGCCTGGTGCACCAGGTCGCGCGGGCGTCCTCGCGCGGAAGTCGGAAACAGCGTGGGAAAATACTCCTTTCCATGTGATCCTGAAACATAAATCGAACAAAAATCCTGATTAGAAATGAAATTTGGGTTAGAAATACGTATTCCGATTTTTTCAAAAGTTGTGGCCTTAGGAAAAAAAGTCCATTTTTTCACCCTAAAAATGCTTACAAAATCGTGGAAATCGTTGACAAAATCGAAAATGTGGATACGTATTTCCAAGCAGAATTTAATTCTGAACAAGAAAACCTAGGCGATATCCAAATTTGATGATAAATGGTTAGAGTTATTTCCCACGCCAGTTTGAAAAACCCCGTTTCGAGATAAACGCGTTTAAAGATAAAATTGCTTTAGGAAATCTCTTCGTAAAGCGGTAAGGAATATTCTGGCGGACTTGGAGTCTTTTCTAAATTAAAGTATACATCCCAAGGAACATTTTAAGCCAAAAAAATGCATTTTTTTTTGAAAAATCAAAGTGTACTCCCCCCTTAAGTTAAAAGTAATTTTCAGGAGTACGTGGATGAGTCTTCCGGTGGAAGTCGTAAAAAATATCCTATTAAAACTGGAGCTAGCTTCCGTGGAAAATCGGGAGGACCTCGGAAAGCTCTGAAAAAAAAAACTTTAGGCACGTCTGAGGAATTTTAAATATGAAATTGGAAAACAATTCTGGAGCTAGTTGGAAAAAGCTTCTGAAGGCATCCAGTAGAACAGGGGATTTGAAATATTGAACTTTCCCCTGCGTTTTGAGACAACTGCAGACATTGTTCATCAAACTATGACTGACAGTTTATGATATTTTTCAAACAAGAAAATAGAACGACAAATTGACCGAAGCAGCAAGCGCTCAAATTTATTAAAATGTTACACAGTCGAGTATCCCGTACTTGATATCGAAGGAACCATCAAGTTTGGGAGGATATTCAGCAACGGAGGGAATTTCCAGTTAGGAGGCACATCGATTGCAAAAACAAACTCTTGTAGTTTAGAGCAGAGAGAAACGCCCAGACAATCAGAAGTCATATAACATACATACACATATACAGACAATATCGTAAATTCCTACAGTTTATCTGCATATAAGAATGACAAACATCGAATTATGTTTAAGTTAAATTGATTGCTAATTTCACACATATATGCGGTGAATCATTTTTCTATCGTGCTATATAACAAATTAAATCGGTTAACTTCGTAAGACTTTTCAAACTAAATTTGTAATTACAGATTAAACGGTATATGTTGTTAAATTAGCTGTGTGTGTATGTGTGTGTCATCCTCTTCCCCTCACCCAGCTGGGAGCGTTGGACAAATAGAACTGCGAATGATTTTATCAAATCTAATGCTCCATAATGGTGTTCTTTATGTTGTGAAGATCAGTACTTTAAGAAAGATAACTTTGAGTCAAGCCTTGCCTGTGTCCTCAACAGGTTTCAAAAAAAGGATGTACTAATGTCCACAACAGGTACAGCAAAACAGCATATAGACGCCCTTCTATTCAGGGGTAGAACGAAAAGAAGATCCACCGCAGCCAACTGAAGCTTGAACCGGGGATAAGGATAATCCACAGTACCCGCGGCAACAATTATCAAACGATGCCCTGCCATATTTAGATAATGTATATTGTTTAATTATTTGTAAATGCATTTTATATAATGCACTGGAATAAATTAAATTTTTATTAAATGGATGGATCTCACCAAATTTTGGGGCGGATGGCTCAAATTGTTCCAACAGCAACGTTATAAAACCTCTGGTAACGCTTAAAAAACCAAGTACCGACCGAGCAAATCGCAAAAAGATCGAATGTTGCTCATTTTTTCTTCTTTCGTGTGCTGCTTCAGGGACAGCCACCGAATAGCCGCGCCAACACCGTTTCCGAAATAAGTAAAAAAAAAACACAAGAACAACAATAACAAAACGTCATATCTTCACCAGTTTTTCTCATGACCAAATGATTTCTGGTGTGTTCCGATATCACAATCATAAATACACTACAGTTTGTGTTTAATGAAACACTTGTTTTAACGACATTATTTAGAAAGAAAAAAAAAACAACAAAAATTTCAAGCACTAAAATTCACCGCTTCAACGAAAGTTAATCAAAACAGAAAATTGATTGAACAAGATTGATTCCACCTTATTTATAGAGGATTGGAATCGTTTAAAAAAAATTAAGTTTAAAAGATCGATCTTGCCTATTTCGATTCATGGTCGCCCATTACTACACACTTAGTTAAATTCATGTAAACTTAGGTGCTCTGAGACTGCACACTACGAAAAAGTCAAGTAAATTTCGGTACCTTGAGACTGACACATGCAAGCGGCCCATATGATATAAATATTAGTTGAAAGAAAGGAGAAAATCAATTAAATCAAACGCGCTTTTCGTCGAGTTTCGTATGTTTCGGTTTCGGAACACTTAATTTTATACGACATGTTTGTTTACGTTCCACCAAGATGGACTACTTCTCGTGTAAAAATAATTATTTCTAAGTGTGTGACATAAACGACCGTCAATTTTGACATAAAATTGAGTCATAACAGACGCGAAATTCAGCTCAATCAAACGTACTGCTCGTCGAGCAACGTAAAGTGCCTTGGATCACTTAATTTTAGATGACATGTTTGTTTACGTCTCATCCTTTATATCAAAGATGATTCTCATCTAGTGTGACATTGATTATTTCCAAGTGGGTACGTTTTTGAGAATTAATATAAAATAATTATTTCCAAATACGCTAGAAAACACCTGATTTAACGGCCAGATTCGTGTAGATTCGTCAGAATGAGCTATTTGAACATCACATTTGGAACAATACATTATCTCATTTTCAAGTATTTACATCTGCATCTTCGCCACTTCTAAAGTCTCCAAAAAGCTCAAAGTGCTGCCAATAATGAAAATTTTGTACCAAAATACTTTAACCCACCAAATTCAACCTATTGCAAAATTTTGAATCAAAATTATGTCGAAACTTTGAAGACATCGTAAAACGATAAAACATTAATTGAAAATGAATAACATTAGGTTTAAAGAGACCAAGCTAGTGAGATCAGTTGATGTACAAAAAATAATGGATAGAGTTATGAGAAAGGTGCGGTCAATTAAGCTAGGATACACAGTTCAAAAAAGATGTTTAAATTTATGTTACTATGATACAAAAAAATGGAGGGTCATGTATCATACAAGTTTATATTTTAGATCTTGTAAAGTGATGAGAATTTTCATGAAATATTCCAAATATTACATACAACCGTCCATCTTTGTAAGCAACACTTCTTTGAAGTCGTTAGTTTACGTGAAAGGAAGTTTACATGCATGCATGTTTCATACATGGATGTTTACATCACAAGTAAAATTCAGAATTTTTATATATTATATTATTATTATTCCTTAACTTACATTATTAGTTGTGTTTAAATACTGGAAGATGTCAAAAGAATCCTATAAAAGGTTGGTTTTAGGAGAATATTTTTGCGGGTCGCTTTCTTTACAATTACACTCTTTAAACAACAACGACAGCGTCTTTATCGAGGCAAATTCTCAGTTTTAGTAGAACACACGAAATTGAGTGGCAAACTAGAACCGTTCAGTATGATAAATCAGGAATGAACTTATCACCATCAAATAGATCATGTCCACCTGTACAACATCGACCTTCTATCTAGTCGGGAACTTGAGTCACAGCGTATCAGCGATTTTATCAATTGCCACTCATTCACTCACCCATTCACTCAGCGATCATAAAATCCCTGATTGTGGCTCTTCGGTAGCAACATTGGCACGTTTCATGTGTCAAACACACTCTTTACAACCTCTACTTGAAAACATGTGATCATAACAATCAATAATCTAAATACATCGATAAACTTAAAGTATAAGTGATTAATACATGAAGTTAATATAATCAGTTTTAATTTGCACCCGGATGCAACCCTTCGTCAAAAGCAAAGACACAATTATTCTCCAATTCAAATCTAAAAACGGCCATGACCGATTGAAAAAAAAGAAGATTTACGACCCAATAGCAGTCATCGTTTCAGTGCATTAAATAACGATCATATTTTAACCGTATCTTAAAAATTTATAACCCTCGATGAACATGACCGCCAATGTATCCTCTAATCATCGTAAAATGTTTCAAAATTCCAATCCCGCACATGAACAACTCTACCACGCGACGCCTCAACGTGGTGTGACACTAATGATGGAGACGCATGGTCGATATCTCATTTACATTGACTGACGGCCATGTAGGTGCCGAACGTTTCAACGACAGGTGTTTATTTATTTTCACGAGAGAAAATCCTGGTGCGATTGGACGCGATGGTTTTTTTTTTCCTGTGTTTTACTGGGTATATTAACGTGCACTCAACGAGAGATCAACCAAAATAAAAATGTTTTCTCTGTTCGTCAAAAAAAGAACCCACTCGATGCAAATGGAAAAATGAACAACATCACTTTACATTGGAGCACTATATGTGGGGAAAAACTACGATTCAGGTGGAAAATGTTTTTCCGCGTAAGAGTTTCCCTATCCTCACTTCTGACACAAGCGGACAAGCGAGGACAAATCACTTTATTAAAAGCATCAACACCTCTCTTAGATTACCACCACGATGCTCGACCAAGGCGCAAAGGGGGGTCCAACGCAAGGTGAAGAGTGAAATCAAGTCGCTGGTTCCAATTTGTTGGCACCGGTTCAACTGACCAACTGGCATACCAACCGAACTGGATGATTTGGAATGTTGGCTCCCGAAAAATTTCATTCGTCCACTTGTCATCCCCCAAAACGCGTCGTGGAGGTACGTCGATGGATTTGTAAATGTTTATTTTTACATCACTATGAGCATCCATAAAAGTCATTCAGAAGATTTATCTCTTCGAGGTGTTTCTCCGGTTGTTTAAATTTCTTTTTTTTTGCTCCAAATTCTGTTCCACCATCAGTTAACAGCGAACATCGAGCGAGCTCACTTTCGCTTAGCTGCTATGGTGACACAGAACAGATGTTACTATATGCCATTTGCTGGGAGAAGAATGTGCAAAATTGTCTTGTTGCCATTGAGGTATCTTTGACCGGGGAAATTCCATCCGCATTAGATCGGTTTTTTGGAATGTTTTACAGCTGCTTCCGGGATTGAGTCATTTATTAATGCAATATGTAGAAGAATATACGTTACGATACGTTCGGACAGAGAGTGAGCAAGATGACGACTAATTAGATCATTTCTCCCACAAGGACAACTGTCCTCCAAACTCTCAGCTCAATCCGAATGCTGCTGGTTCATCCATTATCGAATAAGATGTTCTTACTATAACACCATGCCACTCTTTTCTTGTCTCAAGTTTCCTTGATGATTTATTCACAGCTCTTCGTTTCTCCAATACGCTCGTATTCATCACCATTAGCTAGTAAATTGTCGGCACTTTGGTCGTCAATCCAAGCTGTGGCGAGTAGATATTTTTTTTGCTGATTAGTCTGTTACACTCTTTTCTCTCTCCCTCCGACCCATCATCGGCAACAACAGCACACTGAAGGAGATCCTTGGTGCCCTGGACGATAAGCTAACAAATGACGATTTGGATGGCATGATCAATGAAATTGATGCTGACGGTTCGGGAACCGTTGATTTTGAGGGTAAGCAATTTCCATTTCCTTCGACTCTGAGTATGCTAATCATTTTCTTCTCTTTCAACTTTCTTCCAAATACGCTGTTTAGAATTCATGGAGATGATGACCGGAGAATAAGCTCTTACTTTAACCAAAGTTGTTCCCCAACACGATTCACACCATTGCCAGCGAAGAGAGTTGCGAAAAACAAAAAACAAAATCAGCGACATCATAGCATTAGTAGCGATTTCCAACAATAAAAATATTCAACCGATTTTCTCTGCTTGGTCACCAATATCAACATCATCAATTGCACTCCAGCTGGGGCGTCACTCACGTATCACTGCTTGGAATTCAATATGAGGTTTCCAAGCGACTACCCGAGGCATATTATTTTTCTTCAATTGTGCACCATCACCAAGGAATGAAGAATACCAACGCCCTCGACGAGCAACACGTTTTGAGTGAATGAAAGTTCACCTTGCTATTCAATCACGTGCTCTCATTTATTTCTAACCGCTTTCCTATTTCCCCTCCATGAGGACTCTTTCAATCTATACTTCATTTTCTTCAACCTATTCTATCAGCAAAGTATTTTCCACTTTCTGTGCCTGTTTTTTCCATCACTATCCTTCCTCTTTTCCCACGCTCTATTTTCAAATTCAAATTGACTTGCAATTGAATTTGCTCTTTAAAATTACCTTCCATCTTCTACCACTAAGCCTTTTCTATCACCGCTTGTTTTTCTCACTATCCTAGCAATGCTCAACATCTGTCCCTATTTTTTTCCATCCTGAAGCTTCTTCTACACTCCTCCGTATCCTGTACTTCTACACCCATCGCAGCCAAACCAAGCTATTAGGTTGGCGGTTTCTGTCCATGATGATGAAATGCATCATACATACACACAAAACACACTCTTATTGTTCAATGTAGGTATTATAAGAAATGGTATGACGTAATGTAACTACGACAAATAAAGTGCCGTTATTTATTTATTTCTGTGTGATGACTATTGTGATGACTGCAGGAAGGGGATACAAATCAAAGAAACTCACAAAACAAATAATTAAATGTGGCTGGGATAGAAGATCAATGTCCGTGCTCAAAAGGACTATTGTTAAAGCAGATGTTCAAAATTTAAATATATTTCAAAACCCCTGCTGAGCGATTCCAGACATATTAGCAAATCCATTAATTTTCGTTTTTTTTTATTTGGCCGATATTTTTAAGAAAACTTCTTCATGACCAGAACATGCCATTTTGCTTCTTCAAATCACCAAACATCTCAAGCTATATGAAAAAATAACTGCACTCTAAAAACAATTACTATTTTTTTTATTAATTTAAAATAAAAGCTTACAAAAAAAACTAACTACGTCGTCCTCTGAATTACTGAACAGGTCATTTTCACAGATTCACAACGAATCATATTATAATGTTGATTCCATGTTAGACTTGGTTTAACGGATGTAGGTTATTAAAAACCATGCCACTTGGTACCATGAATTGTTTAGCAATAGTTATTATGTTAACATTTTAGCACCAAGTTAATAACAATTTTTATATTGAAGAAGGCAATATTCATATTTATGAGCTGCCAAGAGCTTTTTTATTGTGAATTTTGACCTTATGAAGAAAAGTATTATTAGAACTGAAGAATCCCGAAATATATTCGAAATTGACCAAAAACTACCAACATTAAAAAAAAACTACGTTCAAACAGCTACATCTCAAAAACGGTGTGACTTAGCAAAATTTTATTTGAGATCTTTTTTATTGTAAATTTGGTGTACCGTAAAACGGGGTATCTTTGAAAATGCGGGTAACTTTGATAGTATAATATAAAGATTAAATTTACTCGCTCCGCTTTTTCTAAATTAGAAATATTGGTACCATATTGTAGCTTAGGGTGTTTCCGTTGAAATCGTATATAGTTTTTATATAGTATGCGTTACATATTTTACAAACATATTAAAAAACAATTTTCGTATTTTTTTCCTGTTTGAAAAAGCACTCAAACCATCAATGAAATGAATTTCCGATATAGCCATCACAAATTCAATGTTGTAATCTTATTGCCTATGATGTTTTCTGATTATATACTCATTCAAAGTTTCATATTTAAAGAACTAAAATTTTCATCGAGCATTATTAAAATACCCCCAAATCATAATACTGATGTTCGGTAACAAAACTTAAAAAATAGTGCAAATGCTCTAATTCCCGTTAAACAAATTACTAACGAATTAACTCTTGGATCCTCAGTACTTGTTTTAAAAATATAAAATTTGAAAAATATTCATTGCTGCAAAAAATATTTAGAAAAAAAATTATCAATGCTACCCCGTTTTACGGTACTTTAAATATATTTAGTCAAAAAAAAATAGAACAAAGTTTTGAAATTTTTTACAAAAACTTCAAAGTTTTTTTCAAATATCATAACTTTTTTGTCCATCATTTCTCCATCTTGACCGATAGTGCAATATGTGGCTTTCATTGCCTCCTAGATCATAAAAAAATATTCAAAAAATACATTTTTAAGAAAGTCCAATTTTAAATAGTTCCAGATGTTTCCTACAGCATTGCCCAAGGTATCAAACCGATTGAACAAACATTTTTCGAGTATCAGTTTTCTGAAGATAAGCTTTCCAAAATTAAGGCTCAATTTAAAATGGTGATCTGAAGATGCAAAATGGCATTTTTGGTCATGAGGAAAGTTTCCAAAAAAATTCATTCAAATAAAAAAAATAGATTTGCGAATTCGTCTGGAATCGCTCTATCTTTCTCTCTCCGATATATGGTACCAGTGGATACAACAAGTGCTGTCTAATTAATTAATTAATTTAGCTTTATTTAGGAGGCTTTCAGCCTTAGGCTGGTTCGCCTCCAAAAGTGCTGTCTATAAAAAATCAAGCAAATTCTTAGGAATGACCTAATGTTGCAATGGCGATGAGGAATTGTATGGAAATTAGTTGCTAGGGAGTTGCTAGGATAAGAGAAAATTAAATAAATTCAATTCAATTTACCATGAAACCGAGAATGGCGCAGCTTGATTAGTTCAAACATTGACAGCTCGTTTGGCTCAAAACTATCGAATTTTCCCCTCTCTATCGCTAAATGCACGTACTGTTAATGTACCTAACGGACCCCTAGTTTTAAAATATTTCATCGGAGTAAATTTGATTTTCTAATATTTTATTTATTCGGTTAAGATGGTCCAAAAGAACACTTCGCCATGAAACCTAGAGGCTCACCCTCCATTTGGTGTAAGCTAAGGGTGTAACAAAAAACTTTTGTATAACATATAAAAAAGAGAGAAGGATTGGTAATTTCCATTTAATTCCACTACCTTTATTGCTTATCCTTGACCGATACGCGTATTTCGTATACAATGTACTGACTTCTTCAGTGTTTTAACTGATACTAGACACTGAAGAAGTCTGCACATTGTACACGAAATACACGTATCTGCCAAGGATAAGCAATTAAGAAAGTGGATTTAATTGGAAATTGCCAATCCTTCTCTTTTTGTTTATACATGCATTCTTCTATAGGCGCCCACGTTCATATTGCATGATACATGAAAAATCGTGATTTAGAGGTAGCACCGATGATGTTTTGGAAAAGCCATTTTCGAAAAAGAAACAAAATATTCTTCAAATGCATTGAAATTTTGTGAAACATAGCCCCAAAATGCGCCAGCTATCATATAATACCTCTACTACTATGGCATACTGAGACACACTAAAAAATAGTATGCCATACAACAAAGGTGAGACAGGCTCAAGAGCGTCAATAATAGATGTCTCATACAACTGTCAAACTTCCATAGTAGAGTGGTCCCAATAAATACTTGGCTTTCCATCAGTTTTACATTTACATTAATCCTGGATTCGTAGAAATACAAAGGGGGCATCACCTCGGTGAGGCGTTTTATACGCTCCTATTCTACATAATAGCGTTTATCCATCAAAAGTGGGTATCAAAACATTTTCCATAACCGAATCAATTCCGGAAAAAGATATAAAATTGTATGATGAACAACTGTTCTATTTTTTTAAACTCAAGAAAGTTAGTTTTTGAATATCAATCATTTTTTTCTTAACCGAAGAAACCAAACGTTATACCCGAAACAAAAGTAAGGTACACTGGGGCAAGTTTAAATGCGTGGGGAAGTTGAAACGGAAGGCATATCCCTTCACGGAAGTGGATAATCACGGTGTTTATTTCTAAAACAGTAGTTTGCGCTAGTGCACGATGCCACTCAAAATTAATCACAATGATTATTCAATTCCGCTAATAGCTAAGCTATCCGTTTCAATTTTTCATTGCGTTTCAACTTGCCCCGGTGTACCTTACTAGGATCTTTTTTCCTGCTAAATTCCCATTCTGGACCACTATGCAATGTCACATTCTCCATGACAATGGTTTCACAATTCAGTTGGCGAAGCTGAATGTGATATACGACCAATGAAATTAACTCAAATTTGAGTTAAGTTTACTTATGAATCGCAAAAAGTGCAGTAACTCAACGATGAGTAAATTTGCCTCATGAAATGTTTTCCGAAAATGAGAAAAGTAAAGATTGGATTCTCTCTGATACTACTCCTAGACTGAATAAAATTTTCGTAAATTTTTCTCATTTTCCGGCAATTTTTTTAGGTTTTCCACAGGAAAACATGAGGCAAATTCACTCATCACTGAATTCCTGCCCTTTTTGCGTTTTATGAGTAAACTGAACTCATATTTGAGTTGGTCTCATTGGCCGTATAGTATTATTTATTTCACATGTTTGCTTCCAACCGTAACAATAAAAGCGAACAAGATGCTGGCAATGAACAAAGCGCACCGATGTTATAGCTTGTAACGAGTATACAAATTTTCTATAACGTGATCACCACCAATACAACGTCATCCTTCGACAACAGATGTGAGCGGGCAAAAAAAAATGATTATAGACCGAGATGTTACAAAAAAATCTAAGTTGGTGATGACGTTTTCCGAGCACCAACATTTGCAAAAAAATCTTTCTAAGTTCTATCATTTGGTTTTGCTCTCTCTGAATTATAATAATAGTATCAAGTCAAAGATTTCTCAATCAATTTATTAGTCCAATCTTTCACTATTCTAAACTCATTTAAATAACATTTGTCCATTTCTATTTTGTAATAAACGAAGACAAAAAATGCTTAATTGCCGGTACAAAAACATTGGCTGGCTCACCTACCCTAGTAAACATATAAGTTATAAATTGTTAAATAAATTGTGTACAGAGAATAAGAAAAAGAAGAAGAAAAAGAATAATAAGAAGAAGAAGAAAAAGAAGAAGAAGTACGAAGATAATAAGACAGGAAGAATTAGGTCAATATATTTTTTTCAGATCGAATGTA